GATTCTGTGGAAGATGGCTGCATGGCGGACATTGCCATCACTATCAGGTTGTGCTTTCCGTCTAAAATCCCCGTGCTAGTGTGCTTTGTTAGACCACCATTTGCATCACTGCTGGTATGGTAAGCGTACACAACTATGACTTCAGTGTCATTCTGCAAAGCAAAAGAGTCAGCTGTAGATAAACATTGTAGTGAAAAAAAAAACAATTGCAGCTTGTACCGTAGTCGAGTTTGATTCAAAAATGGCACTATATCTCCAGAAATAGAAATCTGGCTCCGTATTTGGAGGTCCTTTTTCTATATATTGGAATGGTTCCGGCAGAAAGGTGAAAAGCTAGCCCAGCATTATAATCGCCGATAATCATTTATACACCTGGCCCGGGTTGTTCGAAAGGTGAATAACGCTATCCACCGGATAAATCATTATCCAGCGGATAGTGCGGTTTATCTTGTGAACACTTACCCAATGGATAGCGATTTATCCGGTGGGCAGCGTTATCCACCCTTTGAACAACTGGAGCCTGGGTGGAGTGAGGCACTGTAGGTTAGGATTTGGGTTTGATTCGTGCAAAAACAGAACTTTTAACGTTGTTAGGAGCCCTTAAGATTGATCTCCTATAGGAGAATCTTTGTTAACAATATTTGCCTCATTGCCATAAGCGATGCAGTTTCTGATGGAGCTACAAAAAGATTAATGCTGAATATTGAAAGAGCACAGTACGATTAACTGTCCCAAGGAATTTGAGCGCGATGTATTGAATACTTTTTGTGCGACGAGGGTTTAACAGCTCAAAATTTTACAAAGAATGTTTGAGCCCATTAGCGCTTTTGCCACACAGAAATTTTGATGTTTTTGAACGTCAATTTCTCCCCGAATATTACACCCAAAGAGCCAAAACTTTCACCACTTACTAAGTTTCACAAGCTCTTTAAGTTTCTGTAGAAAAATCGTGTCTAGCATGATGCCTTCTATGCGCAAAGTCGTATGTTAATGAGGAAAAACGTAAACAATGACGTCAGCAAAGATTCGCTTATAATTATAGACTTTTGCTACACAACGCAAAATGTACGACCGTTGTTTTTGTTGTTGTTTTTTTCGGGAGGGGAAAAAGGGGGAGAGAGGAGGGGTTTTGCGTTTTCCTTCCATTAAAATGAAAAATTCGTGCAAAAATGTAACTTGTAACATTGTGAGGGAGAACTTAAGATTGAACTCCTACAAGAGATTATCAAAGTAACAGTGTAAATCCCCCATATAGGCCTTATACCAATAATTTGTTTTTGCACTTTTCCATAATAGCGAAGCCCCATACTCATATAGGAAAGACAAGGAAACCCATGAGTTGATTTTCTCATGGTTATCATGGCTAGCG